GGTTCAGCAAAGCATTACCACAATTCCTACCATTAGTCATAATGCAAACCCCTCTGTTCAGGTTGGGGAGCCTGTTCGAAGCTTCCCCAGGTAAGTGTTTAGTTAGCACAGATTGTGCATGGCACATAGCACGAGGGAGGGCACTTTCTGCCTAGCCAGAAAACCTGTTAAAATGGAGCAAACACTGTTAACCGGATACGTGCCTGCCCAGTGCCACACATTGAGCTCTTTCTTCAGATAACCAACTGCCTGCCGCCTCATACTTGAGTCCCAACATTAGCCCCGGGAACTTGCAGCAATGTAAACAAGGCCTTAAGAGACTTCCTTCTTGTTGGTGGCTGAGCAGGGTCAGACATTGCGGCAGCCACGCGCACAGGCTGCTTTTCACGCATGCTGAGGTCTCACAGAGGAACACAAGAATCAAGCTCCATCTTTAGCCTTTGAAGAAGCTAAACGATATATTCAGCAGTGTTTCGTAGAGTTAAATGTCTCAGAAAGGGGGGAAAGCAGAGGCGACCCTAAAACAAGATCCAAATTTTGAACCTTCTTTGGACGAAGCCACTAAATTCAGCAACTCACAAAATCCCAGACTCATCAAGTGACAGTTCTGCTACCCAGCTGCTTCCATGGTCTTGGATGCCCTGTGTTCATGTTACGTCTACACACAGAAGTGCCTCACTCAACTTTCCCAGGTAGCTCCCAAGCAGGCAGAGAGTCAACTGCCTGTCCCCACTACAACTGAGTTTTATAGGACATAAGCCATGTTAAGGGCTATATTGCCACTTAAGTATCTTAAGTCTAGGTCCTAGAGTATCAATTTGATCTTTAAACTCTTACCATGTTTACAGATGAGTGAAAGCTTTCATCACCTGCTCCAACACCTTAAAAACAGCATTAACTTACTACAGAAAGATACAATGAAGGAATAGGACAGCAAGCCAAACACTAAGCCTTAAATTAGTGCATTCACATTCCAGTCGACGTTGTGTGCCGTCGCCTCCCTTCCACAGCTCTTCCAGCTCCTACAATTTGTTCATGACAGGAGCAAAGCTGCACAGCTACAGCAATTGTTGGCATTTGCTGTCTTTTGGCAGAGCCTCATCCAACACCACCATATTAATGTCATTATCTCAGTCTCCTCGCAGACTTTCTCTGGATCAGATCTCCCTTTCGTAACAGCCTTGACCACACAGCTCTTCATGCACAACTAGCTTTTCCAAAGTTTTCTTAAGAGTAAACTCTGCCTTTACTTAAACCTATTATATACATATATAAAAAAAATCTTTTTAGAGCGCTCAGTCTTCTCCCAGCATGTAGTGTCTCATCCTACAACACAAAAGCATCTGAGTGTTAAGGATTACCGGGTTGCTACTGCTGCTCTTTTCTTATGCTGAGTCTCAGGACTTAACGCCTCCATCAGCCCGCATGTGCCTTAGTGAAAGGAGCAGTTCTCTTCTCTTCCCATTCCTTCTCACAGCCCAATTATAAACTCAGACAAGTTTCCTCAGAACTTGTTTGTGAAGGAGTAGATCCACACTCCAGCATATTTTGCTGCTAGACAAGTAGACATGGCAATACTCTTAACCCAACGCTACACACCAGGGACTTCTTTTCTGAAAAAGAGCTCCAGAATAGCCCACATTTCCAAGTCTATGCTATCAGATCCTACCCTGATACTGGATATTTTAAGAACAAATTAGATTTGATTACAAATTAGTTTCAGTCATGTACTGTGATATTTGAAAGGCTAATCGCCAAAGAAAGGTACTCTTCACAGT